ACGCTGCACAACGGAAGTAGCAAGCAAGTTTCAGAAGTGCATTTAGTATGACGGATCATCTCCAAGAGATACAACAAGTAATTCAGACAGGTAACTGATATCAACTTCGTATCTGCTTAGGAGTGGTCGATTTCAAGAGGCCTTTCGACTCAGTCTACAGCACCCGTAACGTACTAAATTTGTTCAGGAGCCAGCATATCCCGAAAAGATACTGACCTCATTGCTATGATTTGCTAGAATGTAACTGCTGGTATGAAGCTTCGTGAATGCAAAAATAAGTTCCAAATCGAGACGAGACATTCGACCGAGTTATGCCATATCATATTCATAGCAGCTTCAGAAGAGGTTGTCAAAGCACTCCGTTGAAAAGATCAGGGACTGACGTAAATCGACACTACTTAAGCCACCTACGGTTTTCAATTGGCATTCTGATCTTCTCAATGGCATCAGAAAAACTCGAAAAAAAAATCCAAAAGCTGAAAGATACCTTCATGAAAGTGGGACTGAAAATGAACCTCAAGAAGACTTTGGCAATGTTTGACAAATACGTGATCATGCGACTTCTTAAATCAACGGAGTTTAGTTTAAAGAAATTCAGAACTACGTCTGTTTGCGACAGCTAATCTTTGCAATGGAGAACCGTTTCTTTGAAACGTACAGAGCAGAACAATAAAGAAGGCATTGAAATCCACTTTTGAAAGACTGAAAATGTTCCTATCCGGTAAACAGCCCTTGTGCTTGAACCTATAGCTTTTAGATCAGTATGTGCTCCCAGTACTAACCTATGGGTGTCAAAAGTGGACCCTAAGCTTGAACACTATTCGTAAATTGCAGATTGCATAACGCAATATAGAAAGATGTATTTTAGGAATAATAGAAAAAGGTACAAGAACAAATGAATGGATAAGGGCGTAAACAAGACTGTACGAATTCACATTGATGAGTCATTTAAGATGTTCTCAATTAACAATCGATAGGAAACATTACAACAATAATCGACCATCGTTGAGCCGCATAGAAATTAGACTCGATTCCAAGAGAGGATTAACGGCCCATAGGAAGAACTCCAGCTCGATGGCAGGGCGAGTTGAAGAACTTCGTTAGCTGGATAAAAATGGCGAAGAAACAAGTCTGCCAAAGTCTCGCAAGTGTATTCGACCAGCAATGGATCGAGAAAGGCCGATGATGACATTCCGTCTTAAGTTTGTTTATGAGCTTTGTTATGTTCCTTAGAAGAGTGTAAGTTTTTCATACTCTATTAAATTCTGTCACTCTGCTGATTGCTTCACAGGCAAACTCAGCAATGAACATTCAGGAGTGTCGGGTTTGATATGACCTTTAGCCATTTTCTCATAGTTTCCTTCAAAACTTTATTTTCGTCTGGCTTGTATTTGTTGTTTTATTTGGTCATTTATTTTTTTTAAATTTATGTTCTGTTTAAAGATTTGCGATTTTATGATTTTGTTCAAGCAGTAAACATCTGCTGGACGTTCTGTAAGGAGCTAATTGTTAGATTTTCTGAAGTGTTACCGGTGCTATCCATTGATCGAGAGTCTTCAGATCTTGTTTCTTGTTTGTCGTGATCACCGTTATCGGTTGGTGGAAACCCCGTAACTTGGGGTTATGTCACTGTTTCCTTTGATTATACCGTTCGTTTTTTGTGTATTTGTTATATATTGAAGAACGATCGCTGAAATATTGTCAGTCGCTGACTGTTATAATTCAAAATGGTTGATTAATTGATAGTTTTGTATGTTATTTGAGATTATGTATAAGTTGTTTTATCGGGGCACTTTAAATCTGTGCATATGCGGATAATGTTGTCAAAATGTTTAATTTTTGCATACTCTCTTCAGTGAACTGTTGTTTTCAGGTTATGTATTAACATCATTAATCGGTGTTGGTCAAAAGGTCCGTTTCGGCATCGGTCAGGCTTCTTAACTGCTTGTATGGCAGTACGAAGGTGCACTGGTAACTCATTGCAGCAAAGTGATGTGATGACTGTGATACGCTCTTGGTGTCGTATACGATGAATGCGATACAGTATCGATGTCTGGTGTTGGTTTTCAACGCCTTTGCTGGTCTGCTGAAGTACTA